TTCGTCACCTCGGTTCTGTTTTCGACCGTCTCTTCCCCCCCCCCTTCCCCTCTACTGCTACGAACGCATGATGATTCGCTCGCCGATCACTCTTCCCCCTCTTTTCCTCCGCTTTCAGTTGCCCACCCCGTGTGCGTAGCACTCTCAACATCTCTTCTTCATCGAGTGTTTTCTGGGAGAGCAGCTGTTGCTTTTTAAATTTCAAATTCCGGGGAAAGCGCATCGAGGAACCGTGCGTGTACGAGAGCATTTTTGGGGTGGGCTGGTCAAATGCAACCTCTAGGTTGGTCACTACGGACTTGAACTCCTGAAAAAACACTCGGGGGTCCTGGTTCTTCCCCTATTGGGCGTTGTAAAACTTGCCGATCAGCGAGATCTGCTCGCGTGCGTCCTCACCTGTGAGCCCCCCCCGCCGCCCGCTGCGGTCGCACTTCCGGCGGGCGGTGTCCCGGGCACTAACCGGGACAAGGTGTTCATGATGCCTTCCAGTTTCTCCGTCACCATCTTCGCCAGTCTGGTGCTGGCGTCGCCCACGGCGTCGTCGATGGCCGTCCTAAGCTCCTCACGAGTCGGGCCAGCCTCGCCCCCGCCAGAGTTTCCAGAGTCGAAGACATGTGTGTCTGCCGCACAAGACTATGGCGTTAACGCCACAAATCTTTAGAGGGTTAATTGGCCCCAAGCCGAGTGCTGCTGGATGAGCACGGCTGTCCCGGTTGACAATGTGAAGAGATGGTTAAGTCGTTTTATTGGTCGTCCTCGTAGACACAAGCAACGGAAGAGAGTGGGCACCCAGGTGTATCACAAACACCGAGGCACGCGAGCAACGGTCGCAAGACGCATTCGGAACTCGGAACACATGACAGCACGGAACGCGCGACAACTTGCCAAAGATCCTACTACCGGAGATACCCCGAAGATCCAAATGACCGATGGACGGTCACGCACTTGCGCATCTGCATGGCTCAAAACCACACATGAGTACTACCGCAGTAGCCTTCGTAAGGATGGTATAATCCACCTCACGAACACAGGCCCAGATTGAGAAGGAACGCATCGCCCGACGTCGGTAACATGGGGCGCTTGGCCCGCGCCCATGACGTCGCGGGCGTCATCCGTCGATTCGCCACACCCGGCGCAGCCAAGGTCAGAGCCGTCGGGCTGCTTCTTGCCTACATGATTGCCGTTTCTACCCCCTCACGGTGTCGTTTCCCGCTCTTTAATGTGCCTCCGTACCCCCGCCTTGCTCCATGTGTGTGACGTTGTTGCTTCTCGATGTTTATTTGCACTCCCTCCTGTACCTTTTCGTGCCGATGCTTCTTTTCCCACTTCCTTCCGTGCCTTTTCCTTAAGTATACAGCAGGTGGTGAATGACAAACCCTTGGGCTCCGGCCACGTGCAAGACAATACCACCAATATTTTGCGCGAGCCATCGCCGTACGCTTCGACGGCCTCGAATTGTAGCCGATGTTGACGGGAGAATGTTCTATGTTCGCCACAAGTAACGAAGCGCGTACCGTGGGCGGCTGTTTATTATTGTCACCGCTGTTGACGGAAGGTTTATTGTTCGACTGTTGACGGAAGGACAAGACAAGGGGTTTGTGCCAGCATTACTTCAGCAATACGGTCGGTCATGGTAGCAACACCATTTTTTCTCGCGGTCTGTCTGTCTAGTCTGTCTTGTCTATGTGCTCCTCTTCGTATTTTGAGTTTTTGTTCGGTGGTCACGTCTCAGTGTACACGACGAAAGTCTGTGTACTGTTTGCGCCACAAGTGGCGAAGCGCGTGCGGTTGGTGGTTCGAATCGTGTATGGTCACCGGTGTTGACGGAAGTATTATTGTAACTGGTGTTGACTGTTGGCGGAAGAACTTTCCCTGCAAATACCAGCAACACCGTTGGTCATCGTAGCAACGCCCGTTTCCTCTCGCGGTATGTCTGTCTGTGGTGTCCTTTTCGCTTCTAGAGTTCTTCGTAGCTGCATCTCAGAGTATCGTGCGCTTCGAAACGTAGCCGATGTTGACGGAAGGACAACACAACACACGGAATTATGTGTTCTATTTGCACCACAAGCAACGAAGCATTTGCGGTTCGTGGTTCGAAGTGGTTATGAACTCGTGCAACAACAAGCAACAACAAAAAATGAGAGCTTGGGACTAGCAACACCGACAATATTCGTCGGCTTGCTCTTAGACAATAAACTTAACGGCACCTACTACCCGCACCACCTGGGTACACGTAGTCAGCCCCCGACTAAGAATAGCGTCTGCCCGCGTCAAAGTATTTTGTCACACCGCGTGCTACTTCCACCCTGGGCAACAATAATACGCGAGTGTGCTACCCGCTGCAGTACCTATGGGAGAGCAAGCGTAGCTGGTCCACACGTAAAATCATCATTTGTGTGCATACTTAGGGGAGGGTTGGGATGTATGGGGCATCGATCGAGGCCGAGAGTGCATGCCACAGGTTGAAAATAAACCAAGGAGGACACATCAACAACCATGAGCGTAGCACGCGCGCCGCTTGCCATGATGTTGAGTTCCTTTGGGTGTTACCAAGCCTGAGCATGTTCATCCGTGTATCTTTGTATGCATGCTGGAGACCCCGGGATTTCACTACAATGTTCACCGTCGCAGCAAAGACACTGCCGGATAGTGCAGCAGTACGGTCGCGGCATCTAAGGCGGGGCATGCTGGTCACGGCTGCTGTACGGCACTCACGGTCTGGAAGTCGTCGATGTCGAGCTCGATGTCGAAGGCTCTGGCCATGGCGATGAGGTGAAGCACAGCGTTAGTGGAGCCTCCGAGAGCCATGACGGTGACGATCGCGTTCTCGAAGGAAGCACGGGTGACGATGTCCTTCGGCTTGAGGTCCTGCGACAACCGACCGCAACCACGCACATGCACGGCAAGACGAAATCGACAGTACGAGGCACCGTGTTACTAAAATGAATCCGCTGTTAGTGGCCGGACCACGGGGTGCGATCGTGCGAACGCAAGTCGCGATATCGGCTTGGCCCTGTCGGACAACAGTAAAAGAAAGTGGGAACGAGAGATGCACCACGACGCACGAATCCTCTCTAGCATCGAATTTGTACGCATTGCCTCCGTACAACGAGCAATTTTGCACAGGCAGACATATCCGATGCAGACTACTGTCTGTTGAAACGGTCGATTTCGCGAGAGGCGTTATTATTCCTGTATTTTGGCGTACAGCGGTATCAAATTTGGACGATCCTTTCGGGGTGGTCCTGTTTTTGGAGAGTACTGATGGACAGAGACACGGTAGTAAAGGCGCAGAGAGCGTCTGGGGAAACACGTCCTGTCCGTTTGGTTTCCTTCTCTTCCCCTTCTGTTCAGGGAAGCATTAACGTCTTTTCGAAAGAAGTAACAAACGCAAAACCGGTTTGATCATCCCGGTACTGTAGTGCCGCCGAAAGACATTGAAGGCACACAACCCCAATCAACGTGCCACCATGACTTGATTGGTCTCGATACTGGAGATATCAGAACCTAACCGAACAGCCGGCATCACCCCCCTTTTTACAGACCCCAAAAAACACGACAACGCTTCCCACTTCCATCGACATCCGCCGCGGTTTCGTGTTATGTCGGGGTTGTGACATCATATTCGCTTAGTATTGAGCGTAAGTTATGGGGAACATGTTCGTGGCAAAGGATCACCGGCACATACTAAGCGAGCCCGCCTATCAGCTGTAGCAAGCCCTTCTGTGAGGATGGTTTCGCGGACGGAACAGCCTGTGTAACACGACTGTGCTTGTCGGGATTCTCTGGGTAAAGGCATGTGTGTTCGTTAACCCCTGCAATAAGTTTATCGTCGCGCAGTGCCTTTTTTAACGACACTCTACCCGACAAAATCTCACATCTCACCTTCTCCAACATGTTGCGGACCGCCTGTGCTGCCCTGTGGCACTCCTCCTTCTTCATCGGGTCGTCAGCAGGGGTGGAGCTAGAGTACGGCAGGGACATTCCCAGAGCCTAGGGGAAGAATGTACCCAAAAACAACAGCAGGTTTCGCGAATTAGGGACGAAGCGAGCGGGTCCTTCAAGGCAACGCGGGTTCTCCGTGCTCTCCTCCACTGCATGGAACGTTTAACCGGTCCTTATCGACCAGACCAAGGGGTTTCTATTGTGGCCGTACTTTGTACAAGTTCTCCAAGTGTGTGCCCTTTCTGGGGAGGTGATGCCTGTGAACACGGAAGGCGTTCGCGTCGGCTGGACCGGTGACTACGGATGTTAGAAGGTATACCACAGAGACCGGAAAGGATTTAGATACGAAAACAACAGGATCGACAACAAGATAGTACACGCGGCACACACGCGCATGGGGAGGGGGGTGGGGAAGAGAGACAGACATCTACATTGGATGCTACAAGTAGATGGCATTGTGTTTGTGTTCAGGTGCCCCCGTGTGAAATAATGTCGGTTTCGGGGTCCATGAACAAGTTCCCCCTTTCCCGTCAAAGTGCAACAACTCCCCCGCGAAATAATGTAGCCAGGGATACACCTACAAGACAGTGTGAAGGCTAACGCTCGCACAACCACGGTCCACCGCAGTACACTGGAGGGAGACGTGAAAAAAAAAAAAACTGCCGTCCGTAGGTCATTAACCGAGCATCACTGCTGTGATGGTACACAAAAGCATCGTTATCACGGCGTAAATTGTATCATGCACGACTACTGTATGACGGCAACATTCGATTTTCCTTTACGCCTCCCGGCAACGTTGAAGCTGCAGCAAGGAGACAGGTTTAAATAGGTACCAGCTACAGTGCCCACCAAGGTTTCACGTGGTCCGTTTTCCGGGGGGCAAACACAACACCTAAACAAAACCAAATCAGCAACAGAGGTTACCCTAGGTATTCTCACACACAGACTCGCAGTGCAACAGCAACACTGGTGTGTCCCACTCACCTCGAATTCACTGCTCAGTGGTCAGTGTTGAGTGGTGTGAGGCGTGAGGCGTGCACGTTATAGTACTCTTGTTTCCTCCACCGGGAAAACGTACCACACGCTTGGGTCACAACCGTTTACTCTTCATTCAGTAACTCCAATTGGCGATCGGCACACTCCTCCGCCGCTGCAGGCACGCGAAGAGTTAGGGCCAACCCCTCAAGCCAACTCTAGCCGTGCATCACAGCGAGACATAAAAGGCACTCACCTCGATTGCGCTGGCCATGGTGTTAGCCGTGTACATCCCTCCGCAGGCACCGGGGCCGGGGCAAGCGTTCTCCACGACCGTCTGCCTTTGTTCCTGCATATTTAGCGCAGAACATACCGAAACCAAACATTTGCAAACGGGATTGCTCTATCGTTCATGATGTAATCCCCGCAGTTACCTGCGGAAGATGGGGCCCTTGGTATCCGCACAGAGCTAACGTTCCTTGGTGTGAAAAATACACTGCGTGGACGACAAAAGCAGCAGCCACAGCAACAGGGGGAGACGACAACAACGTCATGGACACTACTGTCGTATGCGTAGAATCACCTCGGTGATCCTGTCGTACGCAAACTCCCCGTACGCCTGGAAGGCCGAGACGATGTCGAGAGACTCGCCAGCTGCCTTGCCCGCACGGATGGTACCCCCGTACACCTGCAGCAGAACAGGCAAGTGTTGGTGGGATTGGACGGTTGCCGACAACTAAATGCGGGTGATGTGTATGCCATCCCACTGTACACAGCAGGTGTGACACGAGCTGAGGCTCACGAGTCAAGGAATACAACATTGGAAAACCCAACATTTTCCAACCCCGTAGCAACATTAGCGGTGGTATCGATATCCGCTCACCATGATGGAAGGGCGGTTGACCCGTCCCATGGCGATGAGACACCCCGGCATGTTCTTGTCGCAGCCGGGGATGGAGATGTTGCCATCGTACCACTGCCCCCCCATCACCGTCTCGATGGAATCGGCGATAACGTCTCGTGACTGCAACGAGAACGACATGCCTGCCCGTCGAGTCAAGATGGCGATGGTGTTGGACGAGACACACACGTTTGTTTGAGTGAGCAAAACCAATTGTTGCGGTTGGTCACACACGCGTGCTACTCAAACGCAACGCACCGTGAAAGTCGGCTCCCAGCGATTTTCTGAGCGGCATGTACCCCACTTCAGTCGCATACATCCAAGTGTCGCGAAAACGTGGTACAGTATCGCATTCCTGTTTCATTGCTTCGCCTGAGAAAAACGGAAAAAACTCGACTTTGGAAACAAGAACTACGTCGTTATTTCCACGAGACCTTACACACAATACAACAACGCAAACGCATGAGAACACCGCATACGTGGGGAGCGACATTTTGTTGTCATCACATCCCAAGATCACAAGCGTTGTGTTGGGGCCCAACAACCCCAACCGTGTTGGGCCCATTATGTGCGGTTCTTTGCCATGCGGACGCCTAACGCTTTCTTCATTCCGACATATGAAGGGGGCATGTTGTACTTGCCGAAGGCGACAGGCATCTCTGCACTAACTCCGAAACGTTCGGAATTGTGACACAGTATTTACATGGCAGAAAACACCACAAACACGATTTTTCTAACATGCAAACCAGCCTGCACTCGCAGCCGGTGCCCAAAGACATGCCTCTGCAGTAACCCGCCAACCGCTTGGGGCGAGAACAACACAGCGTCAAGGAAAAAAACAAACCTCAAACCACAACCAACGAATACGAAAACGTGGACGGACATATGCCAATCACTAGGGAGATTCATCGACTCATAAAAGCCTGGTGTAGCCGATAATCGATGTACAACCAGAACCAGCATGCTTACCGCTGGTGCCCATGGAGATACCATCGGACACGCCGATGGTGTTAAACCGGTAGCCCACCATCCCCGCCTCCGTAACGCCATCCTTGGCCTCCTTGGCCAGGTCTAGCAGGTGCATGTTGCACGGGTTGCCTTCGAACCACACGCTGGAGACTCCCACCTGGGTTATCAAAACACGGCCATCATGAAGAACAAATCAGGGTGAACATGGGTCAGAAGCGTGGGTTAAACAAGCGACGACTCTTGGCGGAGACAACAGCAGCATACAGGCACACGACGCCACGCGAGAGCATCGCCCCGAAAGCTTGTCAAGCTTGGAACGTCTGTTTCGGGTCCCGTCGCGCCTGCGCATGAATGCATGACACCACGCGTTGGACGCCAGCCATATTGGCAGTTCACGTTCAGCACGACCGCAACACACGTGATATCCATTTGCACAACAGTTGTAAGGCTGCAGCCAACACGCAACCAACCCCATCGCGTAAATGCAAAAAAAAAAACTGAGACTACCTTGTGATAGTGTAGCTTCTGGTGAGGATATATTGGCCAGTTTTGTCAGTACGAATCCTGTGTGGGTAGTGCGATAAACGCTGCTTGCCACGGCCTGCAGCTCCGCCTTAGTCATTTATTCCGTCGCCCAGCCAGCGGGCGTGTCTTTTGCATGTTCCCCTCTGGGAATAGGAATAGCATGCTCAGGGTACAAGCGGCCACCTGGCAACTCCTGTTTCAAAATCCGACGGCTCAACTCCGTAGGACGGCAAACTAGCTGCTTCACGCACCGACTCCCGTAATTTTTAGTGCTGTAAGTACCTGCGCCTTGTTCATGTCTTCCGTGGTGAGTCCTGTGGCGTACAGCATCGCCTGCGATGCCCCCTGGCTCTTCCTCTGAGTCAAGGTGCTCGAGAAGCGGTTCATGACCACGCCACCCTCTTCGTCTTCCCCTGAGGGACCAATCGGAAACACACCCGTTCAACTCCAGCTTGTCAAAAAATATCAGTACTTGCTGCAACAGAGCTACGATGCATTGGTACAGATCGTACCGCATCTCTTTCGGATGAAAAAAAGGTTGCACACAATCCATAATCAGGTGTATCAGGTGTACACGAAAGTACATGACTGGAGATACCTTGCGTTACTTCGAGGCAGGGTCCGCGATATTCCCTTGATGGTGACGGATTTTCGCCCTGAACACACCCCACGTGTCGTGGTTAAGGACAGTCACAGACAACTTGCGCTTTTTTTCGCCAGACCAACGAACCACACTTATCTATGAAAAAAAATCGACCCCGACCGTAGCCCTAACCCTGTACGAATGTGGGCCCTCAACAACGTCGGGTGAACAACGCCAGTGGCCCTGTATACAAAGCGCCGGTGAAATCAGTTGCTGGGCACCGACTGAATCACCCAGCCATGCATATTACGTACTACCTTATGAATCTTGCCGGCGGTCCCTCTGAAAAGCGCCGGGCGATTCGCCAGGCACATTGTACCGGCATTCGTTTTTGAGGGCCCGCTACTGCTGCTGCTGTAATACAACCCAAATAACGCCACCATCACCTGCTGAGGCGTCCATTCGAAGAGAAGACCTAGGCCTAGGAGAAGAAGCCTTGCCGGTCCGGCCGGCAGCGGCATTTGCGGCAGCCGAGGTCCTCGAGAAAAGGGCGCTAGACGACGGTGGGATGACAAACGCCCGGGCCGTGTAGCTCACCAAGCCAACTACCGCCACAGCGGCACTCCGAGAACAAACAACCATCATGCCTGCACGCAATTATGGTGTTAGGAGCCGGGGTGCGTGAGTGGTGGGTTCTGCAGTCACGTGTGCGGTTTGATATTTCTAACGAACGCGTGGCTGCTCTGTCAAAGCTTAAGCTTGCGCTGTGACGCTGTGACGAGACCGTTGTTGCATGCTTCGCGGTGTGTTCGCGACTACTTGAGAAAATTCGCTGTCGTACGCATTGCTGGCGGTTGGATGTTGTAATATGCATGCATCAGTCCGTAAAATAGCACCTGTATTTCCAACAGCCCCATTCAACCCAACTCCATATAGCAGCAGATCTCGCCGCTAGACAGACACCCTGTGGCACCCAACGAGTACTGCTGCACTTTGCGGCCGTCATATTTCCTAACCCCCAGAATACCGATGACCAGAGGATCGAAATTCCGCCGCAAGTTGCAGCACCCGCATGAACCAACCGCTCAACATGTGTCAAAGAAACATCAAGCGAGACGAAGACTGCTGCGGCTGAGTTTACACTCCCAACTACAGCAGTACATCGCAGGTCAGATGTAAAATGCACTTGCCCGCCTGTCTGAGAGAGCACGTGAACGCGTCTCTGCTTCGTGTGGTATCGCATGGTCGCAAGTGCACGGCTGCTGCGCGCGGGTTGCGCTCGTAAACCGTTTGTAGCTGATGAGAGCAGCACGCATGGTCGCCCCTCGTCGACGCCTAGAAACGCTGCACGATGAGATCCTATGCAGTACACCGTCATCATATAACTACGAGAGCCACTTCTGACGCCTCATCGACCGTGTCACAGGGAGACAAATAGGAGCGAGAGCGGAAAGCCCTGCTGGTTACCACCGCGGGCTCTGCACCAACAGCGTGGTGCGAGCGGCCCACATGTACTGCATCCACTGAACGACACCCTCGCAAAATACCTGCTTAGGAGGAGTTCTCTGGCGGCGATACTGGTGCACTGGTAGAGAGTGGCTACCGGAAGCAACAACGAGACTCACCTGCACGTCGCGTTCGCCAACAGAAACAGAGAAACGGTGCTTGCGGTTGTGCCAAGCAAACCACGCCAGATAACCGGGGATGTGAATAATGTATCCCCGGGGTTTCAACACCATTTTATGGTTCAGATTTGGCGAGTGGCCGAGTGGGCGTTGCTCTCCACAGAAAAGTGCGGAACCCCCAGCGAGATCTCTTGTCCACGGGTTGTCCAGCGCTGCACGCTTTCCGGACACAAAAGCTTCTCCTCCGGCCCTCTTCCCTGTTCAGAAGCTATCAACAAGCCATGACATCAATGCCACTTTGAATCAACTGAACGATACCGTCTACATACTCGGCTCTCCCAAAACACATGCAGCCGTGCCTTCGACCGAGGCAGGCTAGATACCACACAGATAGAAACACGGGCAACGGAAGCACGTGTCTTGCGACACTGTGTCTTGTGACAATCCTGCTGAAGAAGGAGAGGCTTTGCTCACGGCTTAGCTCCACCACGTGTGTATGCAGGACACAAGTCCTCCGCGATGATGCTGAACGGCAGTGCGGACCTCGAAGATTCCCGGCGCAACACGGCTTCGGCAATCAATGTACAACAAGTATTGTAGCAGCGGAGAATAGGTAATCGGAAAATACGGCAGCGCTGACCGGGGCCGGCGCTAAGTATCGACCGCTTTTTCGTTTCGCGGGGTGCAGATACTCCTTTTTTTAGCTGTCGCCCCGTATCATTGGCGCCATTACATAGACGAACGGTGTGGGGTGCTCGTCATGCGAAGCCTTGATCAACCCCGCCGAGTACGGCAGCGAGACATTCCTCAAGACCTCTTTCATCACAAGAGAATACACATGTAGCGAAGTGTCGTTCAGAACATCTGACCATATCGGCAGAACGCCTTGTTTTGTTCGTTTTCCTCTGGTTGCGTCCCTCGCGCGGCTGGGCTAGCTACTCTCGTGAAGGTGGGAGCAGACACGACATCGGTCGTACAAATCACTGCCGTACATACTGCACCGCGCATACTTGTTGAGGAGAAGCGACGCACCCGTACAGGCACCCGTATATTCACGTTGTCCTCGACGAAGCATTTGCCGTTCGGAAACCCGCCATAGAAGAGCATTTGAGTAATATGACTGGTATAGAGGGCATGTAGCCTTTGCAGTTGTGGAGGTCGAGGCAGCTCGCGCGGGTAGACTTGGTTGTGGGTTGGAGACGCCCCCGTCGTTGGCTGTGATGGAGGGTAGCAGGCGGCGAACATGATCCATGCTGCACGATGGCTGCGTTGTGGTCGGGAAAATCGTGTTGTCGTATCAAAGCTGGTTGTGCCAACTGGCGTCCGCAGTACATAGGCTCCCTTATCGCATTTGAAACCCATGGGGATCTAACATTTCTTCTTTGGGCGCCAACAGGGAGCTGAACGAGATTCGGGGATTTGCTTGGAACGCTTTGGGAGGCGCCGCCCGTTAACCGATCTCGTCTGTCTACGGTTTACCAACATGTCGATAATGACTAGATCGGTGAAGCAAAAGGCTGCACGGCACCAGTAGACTCGAATAGAACGCGGAACAGTATCACTGGCATGTTCTCGATTTTCCTCTCACGGCCTCTCACGGTACAGTCTGCAAGAGGACGTACATCCACTACATGTAGGAGCAAAGAAAAGCTTTTGTCATAGTCTACGTCATACACATTTCAAGAAACAATCCAGTTTTCTCACGATTCCCTAGCTGGCGGTGGAATCGTGTCTAGAGACAAGCCGCGAAGTCCTGGAAGTGTCATCAAAGGGAGGGATCCGTGCTGTTCAGCAATGCATTCGCCTTCCTTCGCGTGGTGAATGGCCCTGCACCTCGCTAAAACAGCCACTGATCTGATATGAGTACGGAGGCCGTAGCCCCGGGGACTTGAGTGTCCAGTCGGTACGACCCCGATTGTGATGGCGGTGGTATCGTGTCATTCGTGGGCAGACCTCCGTCACGCATCGATGGGCGGTGTCTGAGAAAATTACAAACGGGAAGGAGGGGAGAACCGCACCGTGCGAGGGTCGAGAGAAAGAAAATATGAGGATGTGTCGCTAGGTGCTCACAAGTTAGGTGTTTACAAAAACACGTCCAAGTGAATTGTTGTCGACAGGCTGTTGTATCCTTACCTGGTGGGCCCGTGGACGTGACGGGTAACAAGGGCCAGGCTGGGGCTAGTAACGACATACCCGGCATCTATCAGCACTTGGGCAAGTCGTCCATCACACCTGGCCAAAACGAAGAACAGACGTGTTAACGACTATCGTGGTGTAACCACGTTGGACAGAATGTATCCTGGTTAAAGGACGACAGACCATCCAGTCTTGGCAACAAACAACGAGCTAAGAACCACAAATATTGCTGTTGGTTGCAGGCACTGGATATCAATCTGTTTCTCTTGGCTGGTCTTCAGTGTTGTAAATGTAAGTGTATTCGATTTGGAGTCGCGCAAGAGAATTCCTATCTACAACGCCAGTATAACATATAACCTTTGAGCAAGGAATAGCAGTGCTCGAGAGCTTGGGGCACAGGCCGTTAGAACTGTAGATCTGCCCGCACGTCCAGGTTTCGGCAGTGCCAAACAACGTTGGTTCAAGCGTGCGGGCGAGATCCAAAGTGCGAGACCCGATTTATGCTGACGAGAAATTCTGGGTGTGCACTGGGCGAAAGCTGTTGGCAATCCTACGTACGGGCGGAGAGCATTAGACTATCAAATTTCCACGAGAAACTGTGTAGAAAGGCTAGGGTTTCGACGGCCCCAAGCAAGGGTCGCAACTATTCAGCGCAAAAACCGTGAAGGGAGCACCAAAAAATCTACTATAACTCTACGGGGTGTTGAAACTGTTGGTGATGCCAACTTCGATGTCAACCTCCCCATGTCGCCCACTTGATGTCTCAAGAATGCAATACGTTCCATGCAATTGCGGTCATTGACAAGGTGAACTTTGACTACACAAACGATATGCTTACCTTGAGCCGCACATCTAACACACTGGTCTACCTCTGCGCAACAAATTTAGTTGCCGAGCGACGTACCGTGGCCTGCCCATCTCAAAACTGGCGGCATCAGCGACTGCGGGCGGTAGCGGAGATCGGAATATCCAGGAATCCTGGCTGTCTGTTCTCGGTGTGAACTCGAGGTCTCCAATCATGGTACCATACATCGCGCCAGGATCTTCGTCGATATTGGGGTCGCCATGGTCCATGTTGGGATAATCATCGCCAGGCCCCTCGCTTGGCTGGTTCTGCCATGCGGCCAAGGCGAATACCTGGAAGAAGAGTCAGGTCGAGATTTACAGTATTGCTGAGTACGCCTATGCTCTTTCTCTCTTCGCATTGACTCGTGTTCGTTACGTGGCTACCACACCATCCAATGTTTCGAATGCGAGATACCGACAACGACGTCACTTGAGACATTCTTCAACCAAAATATGTTCTTCTCAGCACAAATGGTTGTTGTACGTGGAGCCATCGTAGTTGACGGGTTTCGCCAGTTCCTCCCAAGAGAGGCTCGAAATCGCAAAGAACTCATTTTCCCGCGGTTCTTGAAGGTGCCCAACGGCCCATTTACGTATGTCTACCTTGTTGGCCATGTCCAGAGTCGAGGGGTCTCCCAGTCTTGCCAGAGATTCGTCGAACATGATGTCTGAGTTCGAAAGCAGCACCACCTGTGCCGCCGCACCAAGTTCGGCAGAAGAACTTGTTGCTTCAAAGGTCGGAATATGACTTCACAAAGTGATATCTTTCTCAATGTTTTGTTCTACTTCGGCTTGGCAGTACAAGTACATGTGAAGGTAAACGCTGCCAGACCAAGGGGAGGGCCACGCTAACATAAGGCCATCAGCTGCAAACACAAACAAGGATGTTGGAGGTGGGGTCTGTACGACGGCGAGACATTAATATTTTTCCGCTTCATCATGGCCAAGAGTAGTTGATCCCGCTCCTCGCCGCCGTTGAGGGGCGGCAAGTTTGGAATGGTTCGCTCTTATATGTCACAGTCCTCGCTATCGATTGCAACCCCAGGACGAGGCAAGCATATCTGGTACACGTTTCATGTTACGTGTAAAGCAGCCGCAACGTGGAGTTCTTTAGTGGCTGTGGTTGATTTTGCGACTGGCAAGATTCGGAAAACTTCAACCCGTGGCCCGAACAAGTTCGCGAACCTTATGAAGACGCGGGAGGTCTCCGCCCTTGACACCGTGGATATATTATCCGGGGTGATCTTACCTGGCCATCGAGGACGTCGTTGGAGTATCGAAACGCATCTCGGAACGTCATCCGTCGGCCATTCAACGTACTCACTACCCGTACTTTCCCTGGGCGGACGCAACAGCGCACAACGACAAAGATAGAGAGAGCGCGCATGAGACGATTGTCGAGAACAAGACAGGAAGGTCTCAGATCTCAACGTGATAATCTCCCTACACGTATGATACCGTCGATTGAGGCAGGAAGTGGCCTGCGCTTTAATGACGAAATGCCCGTATTCCACACGTCCGCCGGAATTTCAGTAAACCACATCCTGTTCGCTCATTTTCCTGGGCGATAGGCCATTCCGAAACAAGCGCAAAGTATCGCATGCTGAATCTCGTCGACAACCGGGAATAGCAGATGGTGGGTGGGAAATGGTACGTGACATCATCGACGACGTACGACAAGCTCGCCTCATCTTGCCCGACCAACCCCATAAGCCGAGACAACCATCACCAGGGTGCACTAGCCGCCTTTCGAACACAAAGCTAGATGCTGAAGCACGGATGAAGTTTCTAGCGACAGCGTTTTTCGGCTCTGTTCTGTACAGGTAACTTGCGTTGCCATTCCGTGGATGATGATGTTGTAACAATCTCTACATTTGCCCACCCCTTGGCAACTACGTTCGTTTCGCTGGATTAGTCCGGAGAAGGGACCCACCTCAACCCGAATTCGCTTCCCCTTCCTCGTTGTCGAGCGACGGTCACCCAATTGTGTAATAATGTGGAAATTGGCAACCTCATACAAGAAAGATACCGTTCCCCGGGCATACCGTTACGCTGTCTTTTTCCCAACAGCACGGTCTGTAGGGCTCACGCATTACTCAAGCCACCTTTCACTTTCAACCAACCCCAAACGTGCCAGCGCGGCTACCTCTCACCCGCTAGCGTAGCGTTGAGCCTTCTTAAAACCGGCGGTCTCCAGTCGGTTTCCGCGCAGGAGGTGTCCGTGTCATGGCTTCCACGTTCATTGCTGTAGCGATGGAGCGACGGACTATGTCGTGCGGTTTCGGCTGATGACGGTGACTCCAAGATGGTCCCCGTCGTTGGTTGCCGTACCGCGTCTGGGTGGTCGGTGAAAATGTGAACCGTCCCAATGATAGGGTTCTGAATATTGCGCAGCAAGCACACATCAATCTGGCACCCCCATCAAGAGACATCAAAAGAGAACACGGAACATGGAAGGGGTGGGACATGGGACGGGGTGAGCGATAACGATAGCGATAGCAATAGCGGAGTCTCTATCTTGGGGGCATTATGACGGCTGGGTGGAATGTACGTCGATGCAGTTTCTTATACAGCGGTAGAACGTAAGGAATGAGCAGGTGACACATACGAAAACATACCTGGTCCGAACGATGAGGTTCTGCAGGATTCACGCGTCGTTCTGGCTAAGGCTAACATAAAGGTAGGAGTACCGTTGTCGTCGTACGGCTGAAGGAAACTACAATATTTTGGAGCAAAACGATGTCGTCAAGTCACTATGAACCATTCAAGTCCTTGATGAGGGCGGATTGATCTACAACATGCTGCAAGAAGCATCGCATCTGTGCGGCCAACCTCGCGAGCACGGTGGGGATCCTCAGGTACGTAGTATTGCGTGATCATATGGACCGAGTGACGGTCGTACGGCCGGTGGTGCTCCTGGTGCTTGGTGTGCAGTTCTCTCGGTAAAAGAGACTTTTCATCCTCCGGCGAGAAGAGCGGTTCCATGCCTGCCACGTCCTACCGAAACCGGGACAAGGGGAGAATCCACAAGCAAAGCATATAAATGCGGGCCAGGTAAAGTCAGGGGTCTTTCGGTTTCTAGCAGGGCATCATCATCGGGGTTATGTTCAAAACTATCTAACACGTTTTGGTCGACCCGTATTTTCTGCAGGTGTGTAGCATGATACAACAAACCAAACGAAAGTACAACACGCAATGGCGGACAGATCACCACAGAAAATACACCAGTACGGGCAAAGTTTGTCAGGTCCCAGAATTGTGGGGTGACATACGAATACACGAAGAATACGACAAAAGTACAGTAATCGGTTCAATGTACTGCTCAACTGCTCAACCATGTCCACCGTGGTTTCCCGCAGCAGGCAGCACATGAATTCTATTGACACAGCTGTGTATATTGTATGTCGGAGAAACCTACGCAACCGAAGGAATCAACGCCAAAACTCACCCGCAACACGTCAAGAGCACCCCCCAACCTCCCAGAGAACCCCAGGAGAGTGACGACAATATTTGTCGAGAGAGGGTACACCTCTCGCAGCCGTTTCGTCTCGTCCCAAAGCCCGAGGGGGCGTGCAAACACCTTCGACCAACCCTCTCGCTCCTCCAGCTTACGAAACACGTGTCGGTGAATCGGTCGCGGTTGCAAGAGGGATAAAACTGCGATGATCGTCCCTCCTTGATGTAGAGGGGGCATCGACGTCTCCCTGATACCGAGTAAGAATCAAGTAGGCAATGTGACACATGTTACATAGCGTAACCTAGGTCGTGCGTGTGAATGTTCTTTAAAGGGGGTTTATTAATGGCCATCAGGCTTTGGGCAGCTGCTGGGATCGAAACAGTGCGTACCAAGTGACTAGCTCAAGATGAACCGTTCGTGACTTTCTGGACAACGACATGTCGTCCCTCTTCACAGACAACATCCTGGTTCTTGACAAATATTAATGTTATACCTGCAACACCCAGCTCGCTGAAACAGAGACATCGCCCCCCCCTTCACACGAAGTGCCTTTGGACAATTAGCTAACAATAGGGAAAAGCCCTCGGCAAAACATCCTGGCCTTCACTTGGTCGGAATCATTTTCCGGTCTTTAATTGCACTTAAACTTGAAGTGTGTACCATACCTTACGATGAGGTCGACAGCTTCTTTACGTCGGCCGCCCCCTGCTTGGATGAGCTGCACCAGACTGGCAAGGGCTTCGTCTCTCTGGTCTAACGGGGATAGCCGTAGCGCCTCACGGAGCCACAACTCCGCCTCCTCCAGCTGCGGCGCAGAGTCGATGCAGTTGTGTCAACAACAACGTTCATGTCAAAGTCAAATGCCAATGTGCGACTACGGATAACTGGAACTGTACGTGTTTGGGAGAGGACAAGACGTCAACACTGACTGGGTTCCAGGGGGGTGCTGAGGCAGTAGGCTAAGGAGAGGTCGCGCACAGGCGCTTAAGGGTGAGATTAACATGGTTCGGTTGTCTTGAACAATAAAATAAACTTGATCTGGTGTAAGTCGTGCTCCAATCACGACCGTCATGAACAAACCCCCCTTACAAGGCCGCGGGAAGAGCTCCCATGCTACTAGACGCTAGCTCGGGACGCTTGACACGGAGAACGTGAACGATGACCTGGCCATCTCCATCATATCTGCACCAGCGTGGATCTCAAGCCTCTGCGTTCCATGCACTGCTGTGCTTCGATGTTTCAATGATAAGGGGCATAACAGAAATCCAAGCACGATCTAGAGTCCGGACGAGTAACCTGATCCTTGGCTTGCAGGGTCGCGCCAAGGGAAGTCATTGCAGAGTGATAGCCAGGCCGGTTCTCGATAGCACCCCGGAGCATTGACTCCGCCTCGTCCAAGCGCCACAGCTGTGTAGACGATCAAGGTGGAGCGTTGTACGACCCGTTGCAGGCTATTCGTTAGCCAGGCAGTCATTTAGGGTTAGAACCGCGACGTAGGACTCAATAAAACTTGAGGAACCATACCGCAGCTATCATTTTGTTCACCTGTTGGAGCGTACAGCCTAGGTCGTTCATCACGCCGGCAATGGCCGATGCTTCCGCCGACGCTTTCTCCAGCTCCAAGCGCACAATTTCGTCAGAACCTCTCTCCCCCCCAGAGCTTAAGCTGACGTGCTCACGATTCGCAATATCTGCTGGGCGTCTCCTTGATTCCCCCCACCCACCCACACCCTCATTGTTGATAACCCCTTCCTTGTCGTCTGCTCCCCGGCCGGACATATTTTCGTTCGCCCCGTCTAGTATTTCTGCTCGGACAGCCATATTTTCCGCGCTCTTGTGTTCTGTAGGGGCGGCTGCGACGACTTTCTCTCTCCTCTTGCTTCTCATACCCTCCATGAGGCGGAGAGTCTGTTGCGAGGTGACTGCGGCTTCTTCGAGCCGGCTCTGCCCGTAGAGTACCGCAAACCGTTCCAGGAGGTGGGAGATAAGTTGTCGGTGTTCGTGTTGATCGCCCTCGTCCTCGTCCGTGCCGGTCGTAGCATCGACGCGATTGTCGATCTCCGCACTCACTGCCATGGCAACCGTCAAGCCCCTGTCAGTGGCCTCGACCGTAGACCCACTGCGTGCGTCGTTGGTATTATTTCCTCCTCCTGCTGTGGCGGCGTCGCTGTTGGCGATTTTTCTTATCGAAATTTCGCCGCCATTCGCATGTCCGGTGCCGTCGTCTTCACCGGTGTAACCGTCGTTGTGTTCTTGGCTGTCGTCTTCCTCAGTTCGACTGCCGCCACTGGCGGTGCTATCGTGTTTCCGAGCGGTGTCAGAGACGTCTCGCGGGGGCACCCTGACTTCCGGCGGCCGGTGGAAGGAATTGTGTCCCACCGGTTCATCGGAAGGCGGAAGTTGAAGATTTTGGTGATGTTGCTGCGATTCTTCTCGTTGTTGGTGGTTGTACTGTTGCTGTTGTTGTTCTCGAACAAACGGCTTCGCCGGTGGCAGGGGCAGGTCTGCTCCATGCTCAAGATTGACCTGCGTTTGTAGCACGTGAAAATTGGATCAGGTGTCCATGAGATAGGGGCGTTCCAGCGGAATGTATCGGTGGGTACAAATAACCAGTACCCGACAGTTTCGTCAAACCCACGTGTCAACAGAAGAGGGACACCGATTATTGCTATCGGACAGCCCTCGCTATCCCCATCCTTGTTCAGAACGATCTAATGCACCGCCAATCATCTGTTCTACAACCGCACAGAATAGGAAACCCGACTAGCACGTTGAATTCCGCTTCTCTTTCGTGGAAACAAGGTGCCAAACCCAATGGCCAACCACCTAGACTAACCAGCACCCGCTACGTGTGTACTACCTCTTCCGCTGTTGGCGAAATTCGCCCGGCGGCCCTTGAGAGAAACCTGGCCCATTCCAGCAGCACGTCCCTCCTCTCCCACAGGGCCGACGAGCGTTGACCAATGAGATTCCCAGCCCATCGACGATACTCCGCATCTCGCCCGAGCCGGACGGCCAACTCCACGTAGCTGACGTAATAGCAAAAGAAGGATGAGGCGAGAGAAGGGGTACGGGCTGATTGCCAAGGTTTGGCGTGCTGTGTCCGTGTCTCTTCTTCTAATTCTATAGGAAACGCTCCGAGTGACTGCGGCGTGCGAAGTGCGTTATAGTTGGGGTTGTTTTCTGGGCAACAGCACTCCCAGCAGCGCTTGGACTGTTCCCGCCCGTCGGGGTTGGAGGTCGAGAGAATGGAGGGGTCAGGAGCTCGCATATGCTGCCTCTGACAATTGAATGCGACATTCCTAGTTACAAAGACATGCCCAGCGTGCCGTCGTGCACGATAAACGGCAGGTCCACAAGGTGTATCGATGCGATCACCTGTCTCTACTCTTCGCAATGCAGCACCCCCCATCCCCTGGTCGTTCCAGACCCATCGTCTTGTACAAGCTGAACGCCATCCGACCTGGCAGGGCGTCTCCCTCCATAGCCACCACCGGCACCCCTACGGAAACACCAAATCAAGATTAGGAACGGGGATTATGCTCCAGGCACCCCATGCGACAAGAGGTGCGACACGGAAAAGAGTGCCGGCAACGTTCAACGATCTCGAAAGTATCAACGACAGCACAACGGGCATGCGACAGGTCTTGGTGCTACTCTGCATGTAGCGTCGTATGCTAGGGTATTCCAAACCCATGATGCAAGAAGCACATAACACACAACACTCCACAGTTCTCTTGGCACTTACGCTGTGCCTGTGTCTACACAGGCCCTTTTGACAGAAAGAAACACCCCAAAAGAAACGACGTGTTCCCCAAAGCCCAGAAAATATTTCTCACCCAACGCAAGCCCATCCGCCGCCGTTTTCGAACCTCCGAACGGGAAGGGGTGGAGAATAACATCCGCCGATGCCAGAAAGGTGCGGAACTCCTTTCCAGCCGACATCCGTGGCAGTATCTTCACCTAGCAGCACGAGTAGGTCACATAGGCCGGGGACGGAGGAGGCAGACATGGTTTCCAACTCGCTGCTACTTCGCTTACCGTTTGCTGTTGCCATGTGGGATTCCTCCGCCGTATGATCTCATGCCTCTTTCGTTTGTGACCAGGGAACCGTTTGGGAGACGTCCCGTGTGACTTGGTCACTTGATCATTGAGCGACTCGCTACCGTGCTTTGGGGAATTTTCGAATTCGTTGGGTTACTTGACAAGCACAGAGTGGGTAATGGAAAACCCTTTATTCCTGGGGCCGATCATCCGAGACGGATTCCACGAGCTTGCTTGGAGCATAACAAAAACTGGCTTGGCAAACCTGGTTCTACGTTCTACTGCCACGGCCGTTGGTGGCCGTTGGCTGTACCAGAGACATGAGAAGACCATCGGCTGAGATTCTTGGCGAGTGGTGTTTGCGCTCCAAACTGGACTAGTACGATTACACACGCAGTACTTCTGAGGGTCTTGACAATCCACGCAAATCGTTTCCTCAGTAACACCCCTGCGCCTCCTTCAGCTGTTGCGCTGTGGTAACAACATTCGGGGCCATAACCCTTGATGTCCTCGATTCCAATCCCCGTAAGGCATACAGCCACCCGGTTCCAGATGTGAAGTGTCATGCCAACCACTGGTGCATGGATGCACTTCTGTGTTTGCCCAGTACGAGCTTGCCGTAGTACCAAGCCCGCACATCGTGGACACAATCCTTTTTGTTTTTTCTCGGGTATGTTGAACTTTATCCATCGCCAAAACTTGAGTCGATGCCCTGACTTTTGTTTCGACGTTGACCCGCTATCGACATCAAAACCTGCTCAATTTAGTTGGTTGGATGAATGGTGTACATCGACTCCCCCTGGAAACCAAAACGATGTTGCTTGAAGATATACTCAGTGGACCATGTTGGTGATGGGCAACCATAATCCACCTGAGGGAGTACTTCCGGCACGGAGCTGCTTAGCCGTCGCCAGAACGCCTCTGTCCACAGTTTCCGACGTCCTTCCGTGAGCACCAAGTAGGCTTTATTTTTATTTTCTTTTTCTCCGTTGGGCATCTGTCCGTTATTGCACATTTCATGCATTCGTTAGAAAATGTGAACGTGTCGACGCAGTAGTGAGTCGCTTCGGCCGATTTCAAGACACACACCGAGGAATCAGCCGATCACTCAATCGTGTGACAGACAGGGAGAAAGACAAAAGCCAGCTCCCACCTGCCCGTTGTTTTGGTTGTTGTTGACGGCCAGGAGAATATCCCTCAGGACCAGGTCGAAGTCAGGCTTGAGCTTGAACAGACTCTGGGAGCACATGAAAATCACGCTGAATCCCGCGATAGCGGGAACAACGAAGAACGCAAAAGCGGATAGGTGCCAAGGTTAGTGGGGCGCAAGGAAGGGGGCTGGGCGCCCTTACGTTCAACGGGCAGCTAGGGCCGAAAAATAACCCAAACAACACAGGTGGGCACGTACATTCTGTCAATGTAACACTGTCGCACCCACAGACAACGCAGAGCATAGATTTGGCGACTCGGTCATAGCCAGGGAAATGACAGCGCGGACAGAGACTATGTTCGCATTTTTTTTGGCGTCGCAGCACTTGACGTTGAACGAGACTTTCCTTCAACGTATCTCATAATATGTCGCCGTTAGGTAGTCATCCTGCGGTAACTACCTGATGTGTTGGTTTCTGCAAGATGACATTTTCCACGACAAAAACTGCTGAATATATCGACAGAGATCCGAACATCAGCATGCACCAGCTCCATTTCTTTCTGAACGACCATGTCCGCCCCTTGTGTATGAGCAATGCAATCATCACCTCAAACGTAACATTGTTCTACGGACGCCCACCTGTCCTCCTCCACGCCCAACTTGGACTTTAGCTTCCGGCGCAAAGCGACCTTCGTTTCTTCTGCCTCTCGTGATGTTGGGTCACTCATTCCTGATGGCAGATCATGCGCCACTGGCCGCGCGTACCAGATGCCCTGTCCTCCTAGCAAAACCACCTTGGGCACAACACGCACATCACCAGGACATTTCCCCCTTGAGCAACTCATGCATACCGTCAGGGAAATTCGCCCTACGAATGTGTTCGATTCGCATTCCGTGGCTCGAACCGCAGCCTATTTGTTCTAATCAGGAGTGCCAAGATTACTCTTCTGCGTAGGTATTTTGAGCGAAACAGTCTTGGCTTCCCTCAGACAGTTTTGATCGCACCTGCTCTGAGTAGGGTTCGTCTTTGTCAGAGAGCGCTGTTCGGTGTTGCCCTTCCATCACCTCGGTAGACACGAAGTAGTCTATTGAAGGGTTCCCTGGAAACCCAAGAGCGGACACATGACATCGCCCACGGGACGAGCGGAACGAAGGCATGCATGCATCGAAAACCGCGTTGGAAATGCTCGCGGCAATTTGTGCAGCGTGTACATCTATCGCGTTCAGACACGCAAGGAGTCGCCCAAGGAAGTGTAGCGAGATATCCACTGCTGTGTCGAGAATGCAACTGAAGTATTCAGTCAGTTCGTAGAGCATAACTACTTTCAACTGTTTCCTAGCAAAGTCAATAACCTTGAACATTGGCTGGACGTCTCCGTGCTAACACCGCATACTTTTCTGCGAGAGTTTGAACCTGGCGAGTTTTTTTAAAGTATATTTATTCTTGGTATATTTTGTTTTGTGTTATCGTAATCAGCAGTTTGGAATCACTCACTTTCAAGAGAGACATGTTGGCCCGCTGGGTTTCTATTTTCAGTACGGACAGATAGATCTAACACCATCCATTCCGAACGTTCCGGACTTTGCTGTCGAATCCTCGAGTGTCTTCAGGCAACTGTTGTATGACAACCAGAAGCGAGCCCAGGTTGATTGTAGACAGCCGCAAGTTTATTCATTTATTGTCAACCTTTCCGAAACTGTTTCAAATTTGGTGTTTCCATTCGAATACAGCCGAGTTAGAACTGTTATGGAGGAACAGAGAAATAAAAGAGGGAAGGGAGCAAGCTCGTTGCTCCTGGCTTCGGGTACTCACAGTTGTTGTTTGATTTCTTGTTTAGCCTTCTTAGACCAGGTCCGCTCAGCGCCCACTCGGAGAGTGAGAGCGCGGGGCTGGGATTTTGATCTTCCTTCAAGCTATTTCAATACCCCTCAACGTCGCCAAATATCCATATCCAAAGAAAATTCAAAATATCCAATAAGCGCTCATACAACGTTCATGAAACGCTCGTACAATGCAAATACACTAGTTGCTCCATTACAGAATCTCGCAAGATTCAAACATTAGACTCTGCGTTTTGCGCTCTCACCGGTGGTGATGGGGTTGCCCCAGAAAACGGCCTGCACCCTCGCTAGGCGAGAGTACCCCAGAAAGTGGGAAATCGGCTCGGAGTTCATGTCCGCATAAACCAGTACGTCGAGCCTGAAAAACCACACGAAGTCAAGAAATAAGAAGTTCAATTTCCCAGGGGGATGAAGGAAACCACAGCCGGACGAAACCACAAGTAACTCGAACAAGGGCTCGGTTATCGATGTCCAGAATAATCCTGTCGAAGTGATGCAGATTATCTTCTGTTCTTTCGTGTCTCGTCGCTTGACGTTTAGACCAATTACACGTGGTCCAGAAAACAATACCTGTATAGGTTTTGCCGAAAATATTGTATTCGCCCGGACCGAAAAAAGAGGCGGCCGGCAACAAAAGAGCTTCGGGCGAAGTGATATCCTATCTGTTGCTCTGCTGGTGGGGAGGAGCGATGATATTTTTCCGCCATGTTGTTCAACTACGCGACATGGGCGGTATACAGTCTCGTGTGCTAGAACATTCGAACTTGCAAGGGTGGAAAAATCCCATCATCACTTAATCGCAGCAATTCCATCACACTGCGTGTGACGTTTAGTGTGCTCGTGACCCTTCAACGTCGAGATTTACCAGGAATAGCAGCGCCTCATTGGTGGAGTCCGCGAAATTCAATCGGTTGTTCCGACAACGGTTTTTGCTACCAATAAACAGCGGTTGAGGTGCTGGTGTCCCTCGTTGCAATGTCTCAACAGTCTCGTCATCATTCGTGTTTTTCAACAGGCGTAAGCCTCAGACCTCCGAAGCAGTTTGTCACCGGGATTTGTGAGGGTGGGTAGAGCATACCTTAATCCTCCTAACATTCTCCTAGCGACATCCAGCTTCATCGGGAGTTGCATGACCTCGTCTGCAGCATCGGCCAGACTGGGGGACAGCCGTTTCCCTGTCGTTTTCGCACAAGAGCATAATGGTATCCTCTTCCGTGTTACCATTACCTCACATCTCAGTTCGCCACCTCCGTAATTGAACTTCTCCCAACTATACGCTATTAATTGCTAGGCAGAACAACTTGAAAAAGTGTACAAAGGCGTCGCGTGCACTACGGTCACCGACGTTGGCTAGTCAGATGGTTTTCGTTAAGATGTTTGGCTAATGTTACTTCAAACTTGGCCGTACGTAGTCGACGTAGAGACAGAATGGATTGGACATATTTCGGCTACTTGGATCCAGAGTTGGTGGAAGCTGTTGGGAAGAAGCTTGGGGCTGCGCCTACCTGGCGCGTCGATGGGGCACACGATGACGCGAAAGAGCCTTCTCGGGAGGTACTTGACAACGCCCTCTAGCAGCATACCGTGCGGTTCCTGCAATTTTGTTTGAAGGTTTGGGTGCTCTGGTCAAGCATTGTCCGTTAAAGCCGAAGAATATGTATGCCTTGATCTTGACGCATTTCATATCATTGGTGGTCACGTGGAAAGGATGCTCTCGTGTGTTGACCGTATTAACCTCTTCTTGAACAACTCGAGGGCTGGAGAAGAAGTCGTCGTCTCAGGTTGTGCCTGGGTGGGTCGCCTTTCAACAGGTTGCCTTGGGTCTGAAGCACACTATCTCCGTTGTTGTTGTTGTTGTTTCTCACATAAGCCCAACTAGCTACATGTTATTAGCCCGTCTGCAAAGAACGACATGACGATGCAGTCTGCAAAAAGGTTAATCCCAGGGCTGACAATGCTCATCTACCATACACCACCGCGACAGAGCAGCTCCTTGAAGGGTCAGTTCTATGCGCAACACACGTGCCGACTATGATGCCCGCGTCAGAAAGCCAACGTGCACACTCGCCTCGTCTCCGAAAAACTTGGACACGAACCCCACCCGTAGCGGCGAAACATCGGTCGAGCTATCCAGAGGCGTTTTCGACGGCACACCCATTGAGGCATCCGACATCGTATTTGTTGAGGTATCCGTTGATCCTCCGGCGAAATCCTCTCCTGCCTTCGGCGTGCGGGCGGTGGTTGTTGAGCTCGTTGTAGGCGAGTCTCCCGGTAGGTCGATTGGCTGATGAGGGCCTGTGTCAACTTCCTTTTCGAGGTCCGGAGTTACGTCGAGAAGTCCCGGGCTTGCCCGAGTGTACATCCTGGTCGGATGTGGGAGTTATCGCACATGAATGACGGTGAGTCACTATGCATGGTTTGGCGCGGAGGCACGCACAGCATGTTGTGCATTGGCACAAGATATCGGTTGGCACCAATGATCATGTTCATTGGCTGATATATCAAAATGTCCAGGTTGGCAGACGGAAACACTCCAGATCGAAATTAAGCAACTATACTGAACCACGGTGGATATTGCTAGGCCTGAAGCTACAGCACACCTGCAGTGGGCAACGTGGGGCACGTTGAGCACACACTGTCCACCTCCTATATGCTCCCCATTGGTGCTTGCAAAACTTTGAGTTTGCAGAACAAGCGGAACGACAAGCATAATCTCCAAACAAGTGTCCGCCCACTCAGTCCACACGATGAGCTCAAAACAAGTTACGACAAACTCGAGCACGTGGTCTGTCGTGTGTACTGCTCGCCGCCAGTCGACCCCAAACGCAAACAAACACGCCTTCCAGAAATACTCAACCAAAGCCAACAAAAGTACGCTACAAACCGACCCATGGTAGGCAAGGTTTCAAAATATGAAGTTGTTTACCTGGCGATTTTCTGTTGGATCAACCGGTAGTTCCCGCCCCGGTAGACGAGATAGAAGTGCACACGCTCCACCCCCCGAGCAGGGTCAGGCATTGACAACGGAGGGTCATCGCGTGCTATCAAATTGTCCACCTGGGAAGTACCGTGTGGCGTTTCGGATTACGGACAGCATGGAAGATTGAGCACAGAACACTTTCAACTCCCGTTTGCGTTCCCTCGACAATGCCTTTCAAGCTTTTCAAGTACAACGAGAACGCATCACTTGCAAGAAAGAGCATCGAACGGCGTATTCCGAAAGTCGTCGACGGCCATTGCCTGCGAGTTCTAGAGGGGTGAGGTCGACACGTCGAATGTTTCACATGTGTAGTTATTTCTTGCCGCCCTTCCACCGCGTTGACGACGACATACGTAGTACCTCTCACAGCAGTCAGCACTCATCGGTCACGTTCATGCTTCCTAGGCCCTACCATATGCCACACGTGCCGAAGTTTGAGCACAATCGCATATATCAGTGTAATAGGTTTTTCGGAAGGCCTTCCATAAAATCGCCAACTGCTGGACAACTGAGCGCCCGACAGCTCGCCGAAAGCCGTACCCCCCTGCCCTGCAAACATGACCGGCGGTGTCCGAGGTTTCAGCGAAACCCAATTGTTGACTGAAAGTACGAGATACATGCCGATGGGGATCGACGGCCAAGCAAGGAAATTCCTCGAATTTCTTGTGTTGAAGTGTTGTTGGTACTTCTGTTACGCCACTCACCGCTCGTTCCAGTTGTTCGATCTCTTGGGCGATTTCTCGCTCACCGGCCATGATGGGTTGCAACATGATGGCGCGGCGGACGGGAAGACCATCGTTTCTTCTCAACCTTTCCGCTCTGTCGATTGGATGACGGTTTCATGTAGTACAAGTGTTCGACGTCACGGTTGATTTTGGAGGGCCAGCTAAAGCGCTTGTCGTTGTACTGCTGTAGCACTCGGTACACGTTCAGGGTCCAGACGTTAAGAAATGTTGAGTCCATTGGATTAACCTCAAGATTCTTGGCCAATGTACTCCTCGCTCGGCCGGATTGCTTTGAAAAGCAGTTGGTTGTGCTACAAAACTGTTGGATGCGTTCTATTGATGATATGTTTCGTGTACTCCTTTAGACTCGCCCAAGGATCACTTTGAGTGCTCGTCAGACATACCTCACAATGTGTGTGTCTCACGCTATCAACGTGCTCACACTCGTGTTATGCGCTGTGGTAGAGTAGCACAGAAGACTTGGAACAGCGTTAAGTACTCACTGGATATTCCGAAATTCCGCGCACTTCGAACGACTCAAAGGTGGAATGGCGGTTCGTTTTCCTGTGTGTATGCATGCCCTCCAAACATGGTGTCAGGAAGAGGAGAACAACACCTACTCTCTGCACGTGGTGAAAGCGGCGTGCCAGTGTAACCGCCCGCATCATTAATTTTGCAGCAGTAGTTCACGACACATCACAGAGGGTATATAACCGAATGCAATAGAAGTCCCCCTCCTCTTGGGCAAAGGGAAGGTTTGAGGCTGGGTTGGGGCTGACGATGGGGGGGGTCTTCTTCACGCTTGCCTGGTGTAGAACGACCGAGCACGATCTAAATCCCCGTCCTCTTGCCAGTGTATGCCGAGGTTGACTAACACGTCCGGTTCGAAGGGGTCGAGCTCGAAGGACTTTTCCAGCATGGACAACCCCTCGTCCTGCTGGCCAAGAGCCAGTAGCGCCACTCCTAGGTTGTTGAGCGCAACACAGTTCTTGGGCGATTCCCTGCGAGATAGCAGTGGAGTCAAAGCGTGTCACGGCACATTTGACGGAAAGATGACCATTAAAGAGTCTTGAGCGCATCCGACAGACGACACGACGGTTGTCGTGAAGTGCGTAGTTTATGCATTTCATCAATCCGTGGATATTGTCGTTTAAGATGATTTTTCTCGAGCAAAACGACGCCATGTACGAAGTATACTTTGTGTACAGGGACTAGAGAGGATCATGGAGTGCCACAAGGAATTGTCTGATGCAAGGTATGCGGAAAGGACATCCACCGAAATCCCTAACACGTCCGCCGCCGCCAGCAGCATTCCCGAGGCCGTATCCTGTCCCTCCGAGGAAGGATTTTTGAGGTAGACATATCCAAAGATTCGGATACGCTTCCTAATGGAAGGACTTCAGGAAAATATCAACAACCAACACCAAGAGAAGCAGCAACAACAGCGAAACCACCGGCAAAAACAGCAACGGAAGACGCAACAGCAGCCAAGACGCCTGCAACTTCGACCCCGAAAACAGTAGCAGCAGCGACAACAGAATAGTTTACTCACGCCAAGACCGCCCGATATCCCTCGATGGCACCAGGTATGTCTCCGCTTTCTTGCTTCAACACAGCCAAGTTAGACCTTGCGAAGTCGCGGGTGGTTCCGTGTTGTCCTCCCTCCATTTCCAAAACCTGTCTTGTTGAAAATGCAGCGCAGACGAATCACATTTCGAGTGGTTTTCTTCTCGAACGGAACGCATAAGCTTGATTCTCCTTTGTCGTTTACCGATGGCTTCAAGGAACATAATGCCCAACCTTTTTGTGGTGGTGTTTTCGCGAAGATAAGGGTATCATCGCCAAACACGGCCTTTTTTCTACCAGAATGTTCAAAACCGGATCGGAAGAAGGAACGGAGTTGGGTTCGAGAACAACGTTTTCTTGCACCTACGCAGTCTCAACTAGGCGTACTACACGAACCCCGCACAATCCCCCCCCCGATAGATGTGGGTAGCCAGACTGTGATTGAGCTCAACTCTACGATTGATCTCAACCTGGTAGGGCTTCATCTCAATGGAACGTCTCATCTCTGTCGGGCGGTTTACCTCTGTGAGTCGGCCTCGTGCCTCTTCGGTTCTTCCTAAGCGGTGCAACGCAACAGCGACTTCCAGGGCAACGCTCGCATCCGAAGGGTCAAGAAGAAGCTGGCGCACGCGATGATCAGGACCGTTCAACGCGCATCGAGGTCAACAAGCGTCCCAACGTTACTGGTAGTGAGCGATGACAATCACGTTGGCGGCAAAACGTCTACCCCTTCGGTGTGTTTTTTCAGCCACTCCAGCGTCACTTCGAACAAGCACGCCAAGCGTCTACCCATTGCAAAAGGTGCCCGTGTTTGAAGTCACGCCGGTATTGGGTTGAGTCGACAAGATACCGGCGCGTGCAAAAGGTCAGTACTGCTCGCGAATCGCTGACGATGCTCTTGCCACTGTTGGCAACTTTGAGCACAGGGGTTTCGCTGTACGGTCCACATCAACTCCGACCAATATTCACACCATCGTACGTTGTAACTCTTGTATTCCGGCTAGGGTTTAGTCTCTCACCGCCCGGTTGAGCCAAACCAAGGCCTCTTCACCCCAACCAGGTTTCCGCTGCTGCCCTTCGTCCTCCTGCAAAACAACGTTCCCGTGACGATCGTTGTCTTCATTGTAGAATGTGCCGCTTCTGCCATCGATACTCTCATCGGGACGAGTTGCTTCTCTCGCGTCGACCCGAATTCGCTCCATGTGTGGATCGAGATCCCAGTTGCTCTTCAAAACCACCACCAGGTCCAGCATCGATCGCAGGTTGTCAGGGCGGTTGGATAGATCCCTGATAGTTGTTGGTCAAGCGTGAGACGCCGGCAAGATTCGGAGGATTCACGAGTTAACCACCGACAACCCGCGAAAGGTACTACCAGCTACATACAGTACACAAGGGTTTCACCCTAACCTACCACCCAAATCGCTGGGATCTCCAGGCAACACCAAGGGCAGCTCTCTCACAGTTTGAGTAGGTATTCGGCCTCCCATCGCTTCAACCACTCATCGTGGTTGTTCTCGGACATTTCATCGGCAAGGTCCTCGGCGTGGCTATCAGACACGAGTCGATGCCTTCGCGAGGAGTCGTTTCGTCGGATGATGTCCACGAGTGTGACGGCGAGGTTGAACGACGCCTGCGTAGAAGAACACAAGTCGAGCACGGCCGCACGCGACAGTTGCAAGTCAACGCCATTAACTTAAGTCAACAAACGGGGATCAATCTGGACCTGAGGTGTCAAAAGGAGTTTCGATGGGTACAATAGTACCAAGGGGGTCGGCTGTTTGCCTCCCCAATATCTAATCTCGTCCAACAACACCGTCATTCTCTGCTTCATACAGACATAATCTCAAACAGTTGCAACTTTCCGTCGTTATAAAACGAACTTGGACACCGAGCACACGAACTTTTTCATGTCTCGCCCAGACGCCCAGATATGTCCTCAGCGCTATACCAGCAGCAGGAATTTCATGACGGACTACAACGTTCAAGAGCGTTTGGGTGTAGTGGTCTGAACCTGATGATCCCGCACGCCTGTCGCTTCTTGTTCTTCCACGACCATCCTCAACGCCGCCTCCGCTTCCTCCAAGTCTCCCTTTGCCCGAAGGATTTCTCCCAAGTTGCTCCTCATTAATAATTCGCTTTTCTTACTGTTCGCCACTGAAATAGCCGATCTCACGAGCTGATCAGCTTCACAGAGCAAAGCTAGAGAGTGCGAGATGGGAAAAGGGTGGGTATCGAGCGACAGGGAAAGAAACGGAGAGATTGAAGCCTTCAGCGCAAGAAATGTGAGATCAAATACTGTTTCGAAACGAAGCCATAATCTTGTCCGGAACTGGTGGGTTGCGTCTCGTCATGCGACAGCTTGTTGCCACGATTGGGTCGAAGAGTGTCTGTCATATCCATCGTGTGTCTGTAATATCCATGGTATGCGGGTTTTACCCCGCGCAGCACCTATACCAAGTGCCTAGTCTTTCGCGGAACTCTGCCGTTTGAGTTCTGTGAGAGGCAACAGCAAGGGGAGCTGCCACCATAAGGTGATCTTGCATGCCTTGTGAGTCGCCGTCCCCTTCCGAAGCACCGCGTAGGATCATCCCTTGGCTATATAGCGACAGACCTAGCAGGTGTAGTCCGTCCGGGTCTTTGGGCATGACCTGCGTACACAAAAAACGGAAGAAACTTGAATTTGAAACATGTATGCCACCGCGAAGACTGCGTACTCTGGTCGGTACCTTCGACGCTACCATAAGGCGCGCATGCCTCAACCATACGTTAATCTCCGCCCACTGCACAACTCACCTCTAGCAGCCGCGAGTACGTCCTCGCCGCACCTGCGTGCTCCCCCCTCAGGTGCAACTCGAGACCTTCTTTGAGCATGGACATCCGGTATTGGGCAGTACTAGGCTCAGGGTCGGCATTGACAGAACCAGGTATCGGCACGCTCGCTGCATCGGCGCCGAAGACCCCTCCGATCAACAACAACGCCAGGATCCACAATGCTCCTAGCCCAATGATCAGCAGTCGAGAGATGACCATCGCTATTTCGACAGATTGTAACAGGAAGGGTTCCGCCGGTTCCACAGTGACGGTTTTGTTTCGGCGGCTGTCCAGCACTTGATTCTGACGACCGTGACACGCGAAGACAGTAGTACGGGTAAACGTCGAGAAGAGATGAAGAATGGGAAAAATGGAGAATGAAATCATTGAAGCCGATGTTTGTGCGCCTGTGGATAGGAATGAGGCGAGCGGGCAATCTATCGTTAACATACTGTGGAGGATGTTTTCATTTTTATACTAAGGCAATGAATCTCGAACCCGATCAGAGAAAGAAAGGAAGTCCACGGGTATGAGGTCAGGCGAACTTGTTTGCCATGACTGCGGCAAACGATGCTGCTGCAAACGATGTTTCAACCACCCGGTAGTAGGACGCGCTTTGAAATACCAAGCTTATGCGGTATTCTCGAAGGCTACATGCTTGTTTTCAGCGGAACAACCACCGCTTCATGCCATGCGGTCAATTTGCGCGGGAGGTAGGAGTTAGGTCGTATGGACATGCGTCGTTCGTGCGAGTAGACCGCACGATGTCATCTGTGATTTCCGGTCCGCTCAACTCCGTTGTCAAACAATCATAGTGACGTATTAAAAAATCGACGTGCGCGCACGAGATTCTAATAAACAAGGCGAGACTTCCCATCGGGGGTTAGGTACTTGCCTCCAGGGGGGGAGGGAAGAGGATATGGCTAGTGCTGTCATGGTTGTGTCGTTGCATCTCAACGTCCGGTAGTGCCGGCTTTTCGTACAAACTGCAGATCTCACGTCATATGTGTTTTGTTTTTTTTCTTCGTGACGGTTCACATTTGCACGTTTGTGTGCTTTCAGGCTAGCGGGGTTTTTGCCCCGATTCTACAGTTGCAACCCGCTACGTTTGATCGCTCGCTCCATTGTACTTGTACCCCGTTGCTCATGTGTGTGGAAACGTTTGCGCATTGCGCAGGAATCAAAAGTGTCCCTGTTTTTTGCAAAGAGGTTTAGTGTTTCCTGCGAAGTCTCTTGGTTCGGAATGCTTTGCCGACAAATGTAGTCAGTCTCCGCGAAGTTTGGCGTCTATTGCAGGTGCCACGGATGCCTAGCGCACCTCGGGCATTCGCGGTAAGATACTTGACGAGCCCCGAGCTTGTCCTGAGAAGGAAGCCTGAGAAATGAAACGTCGCCGCGTGAGGCAGACGCGCCGAATAAAGATTGAAATGACACGTACTGTATACGACACAAGACAAGACACCCCGGGGATAGCATATCTTCGTTCATCGCACGTATCACCGGGGGTTGATCGCACGTATCACCGGGGGTTGTATTCTATTGGGGGTCGCGGGAGCAAAGAAGGGTGTGTGGGAACCAGCGGGTGTGGTACCACTGCCGTACACCTGCAGGAACCGAGACTACGAGAAACTGAAGTTGTGTGGGTCCATTACCGCCGCCTGCAAAGCACAACCTGCCGTGCCTGCGGCCATACATGCAGGGGGCATAGTATTGAGGGGGTGTAACACTCTACATGAAAGAACAACCGCACTGCTGCCGCCCTGTGAGCGTGTGTGGACTGGACGGATGATAGCACTGACACCACTGCCTGCAGTATACTTCCTGCCCAATCGTATGGATTACAGGGGGGGGGGGGGGGGGGGGAACCCAAATCCTGCCTTCCCTAATCCTTTTAACCTTTACCCCCCCTCCCCACAAAACCCGGAAGGAAAACCCCCGGGTTTCCCCGGAACAGGGTCTCCCATCACCAAACCCGAAACCCCCTGAAGTTTTTTTGGAATCCCCAAAAAGGGGAACCTCCTCCCCCTAAAGGTGTTCCGCATCTTTTTTTTTTTTTCTTTCCTAAAGAAAAAAACCCCCTATAAATTTATTTTTTTTTTGGGGCCTTTCCTTTCCAAAAAAATTTTAAACCCTTTTTAAATCCCCCCAAAAAACCTTCCCCTTTTAACCCCACCTTGTGCCATTCTCCCCCCTTTCCCCGGAGTGATTTTTTTCCCCCCCCCCCACAATTTTTTCCTCCCCCCCCTTTTTGTTTCCCCCCAAAAAAAA